TATATATATATATATATATATATATATATATATATGTATGTATGTATACAAATGTAAAGAACTAAAGCTAACCAAATAATTATATATTTCTAGCTCGAATTGTTGCTTAAAGGTTTTCGGATCTTGAGTGTTTGTTATTTGGGATCACTGCGGAATCGCACACATGCAAAATTTTATGATAATATCACATTATTTAAATATAAATAATTAGAAGGGATTTTCGTTTGTTTAATAATCAATTTAAAAAAGGAAAAAAAAGAATAATAATATAAAAAACAAATTCTGGCAACTCATAGCTGCTAGGATTCGTGCCAATCTGTTCGGTCATATAAGGAAATACTGTACTTAATTATACAAGGCAGTGATGGGTGAAAAGGTTCGATACATTCTTAATCGGATGAACTGCGTATAAAACTAGAAACCTATCAGTTATATTATATAAAATTGGTATACTTTATAAAATAGATGAATTCGCGTAAGAAAGAAGAAAGCAATCATGCATTGGGCGCCTGGCAAGTTTTAGATATATATTACACAGTAGAATCCCGATAGTTCGAAATGGCAAGGGGATCAGTTTTTTTTTTTTTTTTATTTACACAGAAATTCAAACTATCGACAATCATCGAGAACGAGTTTCTTTCAAGGGGATCGACTATTTGTTCGATTTATCGCGTTTGTTGTTTCAGAGGGATACAAATTATCAAGTCTCAACTGTATTATAGTCAAATCTCTATAATTTGTATCCAGAAATTTGTAATGAGAAAATCGCGATAAGTCGATAATTCTCGATAATTTGAATTTCTGTATAAATCGATAGAAAAACTGATTCTCTTGCCATTGCCAGTTATCGGAACTCCACTGTATATTTATTCTTATGATTCACTGTATATATAGCTATCTAAATGCGACAGTTAAGATCGTCACAGCATTGATCCATTAGACGGCATACACGTCTGCATGCAAGTTCCATCTATGTTATGCATGTATTTACATAGACCATTGCTCGAGGTGGCTGTATTAAGGCCAAGTAGGCCGATCTTCTCATAGATCAATGCTGTGACGATCTTAACAACGCCAGGCCAAGTATGTGAATGCCAGCAGAAGAACGACAGCTAGACTATGCCCCCGTTGTCTTATGCTACTGGAGGCGGAGCTGCCGTCCGTGGTGTCGTTGGTGCCGGATACTAGGGGAGCCGTCCAGTGCTGCTCCTCGTCCACGTCGTTGGCGCTGCGCGCACACTGCATCCATTTGCGGGAGGAGAGCTTGGGGCGAGCGTGGGCTACTTTTACGAGATTGTCATTGAACTCCCAGTAGCCCAAGTTCTTAAAGAAGTAAGTCTTTCCATTCGTATACTGGAAGGCCGCATCTATATTGTAGCCCACGCCCGCCCAGAAGGACATGTCACGGGGATAGTCCAGTTCCACCTTGCCCGTGCTGTCGTCAATGCGCCAGTAGAGCGTTCCACTCGTCAAATACGTCCTATTATTGTGGCCCCATACGAAGGCGGCATCTACATGGCTGAGAGAGGGTGGTAGACCCAGGTTGGTTAAAGGCTGTGGATAGCCCGGCGCCAGGGTGACCGAATCGAAGACGTAATACTGCCGGCCTGTGGGTGGAAGTGTAAACAGTTTAATAGAGCTCGCCTTAGAGGTAGATAGAGATAGAGGTCTGTTTACCTATAAAGAACACAATTTGACGCTGTTGATTCTCATAGACGGCATCCACTTTGTTAAAGTCCTCGGGCAGTGCGGACCAATGGCGGCGCGTTTCCGTCGGATAGCCGTTATACAAGCCTTTGGCACCAATGCGCCACAGGAACTGCAGAAAACGAGAGTAAATATTAACGATAAATATAGCAGAAATAAACATTAAATAATGATTGAGCTAGTGTTGACCTCCCACACATAAACATATGCACGTATATCGATGGCCTAAAGGTGAGGATGTGGCCCATTGGAAATACTCTGTATATTTCAGAGTTTGGGAGCCTTGGGCTATTTGCTTTTACGTTTCTGTAAGCTAAGAATTGACATTGTGACCATTTCAATCCAAAAATTGTTGCACATCGGATAAACTACATTTACTTCTAATATTTAGGTGCTGCCACTCCTGTTCAGACTCGTTCTGGACTCCTCAATCGAAAAAAGACTTCGCCCAAAAGTAACCTGAACATATGTACATACATATATCTTTTTAATAGCTGTAAGGTACGCCTGATCTAATATAATATATTTTTAATGAACTAGATCATTTACCATACTAATATTTGGAGCTAACATGACATTTATATTGCTGACTTACCTGTCCTCTGAAGATGAACAACTCTCGGCGTATCATGGAGATGGCATCGTATGAGGTCATGCAGTTGTCCGGTTTGGGCTTGCGTGGCTTATGTGGCTTATTGTGTCGATGCACTGTGGGGTAGTTGTAGGGCCTGTGAGTGGGATAGGTGGGTGCTGTTCTTGTCGTCGTGTTCGTTGTCACTGGTGCCCTCGTTGTGGTTGATATTCTCGTTTGGGATTCACGATTCCGCTGCCTTTCTCGTTCCAGATATCGCTGACGTTCTCTTTCTCGCTCCTCGTGCTGTCGTTTATATACACGCTCTTCCTCTCGCTGACGCTCCCGCTCTCGTTCACGCTCACGCTCACGCTCACGTGCTCGTTCACGCTCTCGTTCACGCTCACGTTCACGCTCACGCTCACGATCACGGGAGGGGGATCGCGGATAATAGTTGGGATAATAGGTTGGATAACGATTGGGATAGTTCGGTTGCTGCTGCGGATAATAGGTGAGCGAACGCATTGTCGTCGTGGTTGTTGTGGTGCTCGTCGTGGTTCCCGGCCGATACGCACCCCAGACCTTCTGCTTGGCCCCATAGAGCTCCTGTATACCAATGCGATCATCGTCGGGCAATTTTCCATCGACCTCATTGTTCTGATACCAGGGGAACATGACCGCATTCGAGTCCGAGGAGTGGCCCAGCCCCAGCGAGTGGCCCAGTTCATGCAGCGCCACATTCAGAAAGTTGGTGCCTGTAAAATGCGACAACAAGCGATTGGTTAATGGCATCCAGCGGCCAAGGAAAAAAAAAAAAACATAAAAAGAATAAGAAATGGGGAGACAAGAACGCGTCGTCGCCTTGACGACTTTGTAAGTGGCATAAAAATGGCGTCGTTGCAACATATACAATGAAGAGCACACGCTGCTTCCACATGTACTCGACTGCAAGATACTCTGCAGTTTGAGCGAAAAGTGTTGTGAGCACTATGGAAGATGGACCACTTCTGCTAGGCAGAAAGATTGTTACTGCTTTCCTTTTCTTAATATTTTATGATTTCGAATCAATATCTACATTAATGTGAGAAATGATTTTTTTAGTGAAAATTTAGTTGGACTTATCAGAAAAGTGAATGCTTGGACAGCCTGATATGCCACGTGTCTGCACTTTGAAATTACTGCGTATTTAAGGATTGGTCGTTGTTGCATTTGGCCAACGTCACGCGTCATGCTGACAGTTTTTTATTGACATTAAAAACCATTAAAATTGTCGACATTGGATTCTGGTTTCGGAGCGGGCTCTCGCCCGGGCTTCGTTCGGCTGCGGGTTATACGGTTCTTTGGATCTGCCGTTAGGGGCGAAATTTATGGCGCTAAATTACAAAACGCATGCAGGCAGTCGGCGCCAACGTTTATTGATTTTGCCACTTGCAACAAGGCGGTACCGTTGCGGCTTAGTCGCCTGCAACTCGGCCGCAGGCTTTTAGCCACAATCCGACCGCAACAACAGCCGCTGCGTCCACAGCTGCTGCTGCTCCTGCTGCTGCCGTGGCTGCTGCTCCTGATTATTATTATTGTGTGTTATTATCTAATGTTATTAATTTATGCGTTGCATTCGCTGACTAGATTATCTGCTGACCGCAGCGACAGCAGCTGCTGGTCTCCACTTACCACGACTGTCATCACTGCTGGCGTCGAACTCCCAGGTCTCCTCGGCATCGAAGTGCGCATCGCCGCCGCGCCCGACGCCTGGATAGAAGGCGTGCGCCAGCACCTGGCCGGGTCCATCGAACTTGTAGCCATCGCCATGATCGCGCCTGCAGGGAGTGAGTAGAAGAAGAAAAAGAGTTAGTCAGCCAGAGCCCTGATTAGTCAATTCAATGGCATTGAAGTTACGAGCTTGCAAAATAAAGCTTATCTAGGAAAAAAGCGACACAACAGCTGCAACATAAACTCTTTGATTTGAAATTGGTATCCAGCATGCAGCCAAATCTCCTTCACTTCTGCCTGCTGCTGTCGTCATCCTCTTCGTTGTCGTCATCATCATCATTGGTTTCATGGTTTAATACTTGGCTTATTTATCGTTGCCTGGTTTTAAGTACAGTTTTATGGGCTGCCCATCTTTATGGCACTAAAGAATGCTTTCTTTTATGGTCTGCATGAGGTGGCTGAGCAAACAACCTTCACCCACCCATCCATTAGCTCACCCACTCTCCACTCTCCACTCTCTACTCCCACTTTCCACATTTCCACATACGCACCGTGCAAAGAGAACCTGTATATCCGCCTGATCGCTGTACACTTCACGGAATGTCAGCTTCGAATTGGACTCCCATACGCGCAGCGCCCGAGAAACCATCGTTCGAATTTTGTCCGCGTCCGGCATCGATTGATTCACCAAACTGAAAGGGAAATACAGGAAAAACAGGAATTCGTTACATTTGTATGCAAGTAAAGATTTAAGCAGAAATACATACATATGCACGTATTTTATATGAATATAGTGAGGAATTTAAAATATTTTGCAGTGATTTCTTCAGGGTTAAAATCGAATCATCTGAAATGTCCCTTGAGTCAGCAGAGCTGACAATGCACATACACTACTCAGTGCACTTTCATTGGAGTGGTCAAGTAAAACAAGAATGAAATCTAAAAATTTAAATATTCCCTAAAAACTGTCGCATACTCCAAAGCATTTAGTTTTGGCTCGACTGGCAGCGCTCATGCTTCAAAGCAGACATCCACACAGAGTCCCTTCTTATGCATAGTTAAGCACACAGGCTACACCCACACACTCACACGCACACACACACACACGCACACACACACACACACACTCTCTCTCTCTCTCACTCTCACTCTCTCTCTCTCTCTTTCTCTCTCTAAGCGAACCTACTTTACACATTGTTTGCTGACAATTTGGCCTACAACTTTGTCTCAACGTGGTCATGTTGCAAAAGATACAAACCGCTAATATGGGGGTACGACAAACACACACAGAGAGACACTCTCTACACACACAACTCACCTACCCCTACATGCACATAACTTTCACTTTGTGATGCAAAAATATCTTTTGTTCGGTCGCATATACAAGGTTCGTTCAAGTGAATCGCTGGGGCGGTTGTCTGCTGCTGGGCGTGGCACTTTCATTTAGTTTACTATTTTTTGGATAAATTCTGTGCCGCAAAGTCGGCCGCAAATTTACCTGAACCGGGCACAGGCCAGTGCACACCGAGCAACTCTTCACTTACGACTTTGACTCGATTTTCCCGCTTCGGCAGGAGGCGGAAAGTTTGCAGCTAGCCCACACCATCCGGTCATGCCATGCCCACCACCCCCCCTCCCACTAGACAGTGTTGGTCTCTATATAGGCACCATGTTTTCCACATTTTATGCAAATTAGTTATGTTTCTTTTATGCCATTGCAGCCCGGGCGTTGCCGTCTGTTGCTCTTGACTAAAGCAAAAAGTTTTCGCCCCTCTTTTGTTATTTCGTCTCTTTTTTTTGTTCTTTTCCGAATACCCTGCATCGCAGACGAAATGGGCAGGAAAATAGGTATAATTAAGCGTAAAGATGCTTTTAACCGCATATGATTCTTCGATATAATTCTTTCGATTAGAGAGTATGAGACTTGAAAATGTTAAGGTTGTCATCCAAATCAGGGTATAATTGTTTTTGTGAAAAAGTATGTAACAAGCAGAAGAAAGCATCGCAGACCCTATAAGGTATATATATATTTTTGGTCAGGGCGACGAACTGTACGAACGATATAGTCCTGTTCGTCCGCTTGAACGCCTAGATCTCAGAAGTTATTCGAGCTAGGGAGCTGAAATTTGGCATGCAAACTTGTGTATATGAATACAAACATTTTGTACCTTACAGATTTTGGATAACACGCCCCATTCGCCCCCAATTTACAAAAAACGTATTTCAAGTACTAGAGACTGCGGACCATGATATGATCACGCTCTGAAAGTTTCATGAAGATAGTCCTACTAAAAGAGAAATTATTCAACTAATAAATTATCATAATACTGCACACACTGTAGCACAGTCCAAGCGCAGTCACTGCTTACTGCGCAGTTAGAAGATCGCATGGTTATGCCTGCGTGTGGATACATGTATGTATGTATGCATGTATTTATGCATAAAATAATTGCAGCTTGATTAGATTAGCTAGGAGGCTAGACCTTCGCCTTCTAACTGGTTTTCTATGATTTTATATGTTTGATTATAATTATTATAATTTTATCTTAATTCTTTTGAAAATTATTTCCATCACATCTTATGCCAAAAATGTATTTTTACAGAGGTTAACTATTGCTGAGCTACATTATTTTTGTATTTTACTTAGAGTAGTGCTTCATTCTGTAGAGCTTTAAACACTGGCGTGAGGATTTTAATAAGATTAAATAATCGAAATAAAAATGTAATCAAATTGTATTTTAACTAGAAGTAGATCAATCTGCGATCTGATAACGAGTATAAGCTATTTCAAGGGTATCTTGATAACATCAGTCGAACTTGGCTTTAGCACACTTCCCAGCTCACTTCGTGTTCGTATATGTGTGTGTGTGTGTGGGGCGTGTGGCTTGCACAAGGTCCCTCGGCCTGAGCTAGCAGAAATTTCGCCTGGGCTGCTTCGTTGTCCTCTGTCCTCTGTTTCTTAATTTCACATCTCTTTTTTAACTTTCTTTTTTCTATTTATATTTCCCTGCAGCGTTTAGTTGGCTTTTAGTGTTGGCTTTTGTGTTGGCCAACTAGTCGTAGTTTCTTATTTGCAGCATGGCGTGCGTGTGCGTGCTTGTGGCCATTTAAGTGGTTCAGCTTAGGTTCAGAATGCTGCTGCTGCTGCTCGTACTGCTGCGGATGCCCCTGCTACTGCTGCTGTCCACATTTTCCAATCAAATTGTGCGTAACGCTTGCCCATATGACACGTTGCTAGGCCAAGGCATCGCCTTCGCATCTGCATCTGCGTTTGCAGCTGCATTTGCATCTGAATTTGCATTTGCCTCTGCATTGGAATCTGATTCGGAATCTGGGCCTTTTACTGACTGCAACATCATTAGCCACACGTACGTTGGATTGGCATGGCCTCACAGGCTGAGTAGGTCTGACTCTCGTGTTCTCTTTGCTGTGTCCTGTCCGTGTCCAGTTCGTGTCGCAGTTCATTTCCATTGGGTTACGACTTTGACTGTGATTCCGAGCGCTTTGCCCAAAACGTGCCCAATTGCAACGCCATTTGTTTGCTTAGTTGTTGATCCGGTTGTCCAGGCAGCGGACAACTAGCAGGCGGCTGGCAGCAGGAGCAGTTGCTGAGCCTTCTCCTGCCTGCTGTTCACGCGACTCGTTTACTATTTGCTCAGCGTTTGCTGTTGCTTTGCAATGGCAAATTAACTGCACTACGTACAATTGCCTCAAGTCCCCTTCCCAGACTGGCCGCCTCCTGCTCTCTCTCTCTTCCGCTCTCTTTTCCTGCACTGAGTTGTCCCTTTGTCGTGCTAATTTCGTTGCTGCTGCTCTTGGATTTAAATGCGAGCCACTGCACTGCGTCCTGTCACGTAGCCATTTCCAGCTGCAACCAGAGGAGTCGCAGTCGGAGCAGCAGCAACAGTAGTCTCGGTTTGACCTTTGTTTGTCTTTGCCATGTCACTTTGTGTGCCGAGCATTTAACTGCCACCCCAGGGGCGAGCGGGTGGGGCGGCGAGTCGAGGACCTGCCAATGCAGACTACCTTTGGACTCCAGCAGCTGTTCCTGCTGTTGGCAAACGTGTGCTTTGGCCAATTTGTTGCCTTACACGTAAAACAAACTGAACAATTAGCCAAATGGCTGCGCGAGTTCATTCGCTTCACTTCATGTAGGCTGTGGCCAGGTGAGGCAAGTCGAGGCAGGGCGAGGCAAGGCAGACCTTCTGCCATTTCAGTGGGCCATCTGGCGGAGCGCGGTGCCCTGCATACGGACTAAGCTGCCAGGGGCCATTCGTGGTTAGCCGTTCGTTAAAAAATACCCACAACATTTCAATGTGAAATACCTTTTGAGCAAGCTTATCTCTCATGAAGTATTGGCATGAGTTTCGATTTTTCAATGTATGTGAGTGCGGGTCCTTGGGGAAACTCGTTGAAACAAAAATGCTGAAATTTGATGGCGAAGCTGTGAAAAAGATCAAGGAGTCCCATACATCCGCTGTACTCACATAGCTGCTTTCATAATTATTGAGTAAAATATTGAAAGCATTTATAGTGTTGAACTTATAATATAAAAACAATCGTATCTGCAAATCGACTCAGCAAATTGCTGTATATCCATCTCTATATAAGCCATCGATACTCGAATCGGTTTTCCCACAACTGCTCAGGTAATTGTTATAGGGCAATCATTTAAGAAATATATTATTGTAAGTATTAAGATGGTATATTATATATATTTTGAAACGCGCTCCCATACAAATCGACTTAACCAACATTTATGCGGGAATGAAGGCGATAGAATATATTTAATTATATATAAGCTATTGATACTCGAAATTGACAGTAATTAAGTACATTGGCTTACACACAATTGCTCTTGTAATTATCGCACTAATTAAAATCATCATTGAGGTTAATATAAATATTTCTCATGTCGAAATCGAAAGAGTATATTCAATTCTATTTGAGCCCGTGATACTTGAAGCAGACAGTAATGCGGTACATCGTTCTGTCACTTGCAAAGTTTAAGAACAAGCTGCGACATAAAGTGCACATCATGTAATACCTTTTATATCTGCGACTTGCGAAGGCAACATTTAATGGCGCTTGTGGTGAGCCGTAATCCAGTTTTTATTTAAGCGTTAAGCGAAACGCTTTTGGCTTCTCGAAAAAATCTGCTCAGCTTACACTTTTATATGTATGTAAGTACATATATGTGTATGTATGTATGTAAGAGGCGCATTAAGCACTTTGCCAACTCATTGAATGTCTGATAAGTTCGTGGAATTGAGTTTTAAGAAGGCAACATACGATATCTACCAAAAACGAAAAACTCTTAATAAAAATTATATAATTTACACGCACACACGCTTACACATATACACACACGCATGCCTGACTTATATATTTATGGCTGGCCATACAGTGTCTTCAAAAAGTTTGCAAGACGAAAAATGGCGTTGCTTCCCAGTTTCAACTTTTTGTGTTCTTTCTTTTCGCTTCATTTTTTTCTTCCTCTTTTTTATCTACGGATTTTTGGGGCCGTAACTGAGCCGGATTCGACGTTTTTAATTTGTGCGAAATTAAGCAAAAAATAAACTCATTTTGTTAGTTCGCTACGCTCTTGGGCAAACATTGCCGAAAACTTTTTCGATAGCTGTCTGACAACAAAACCAAAAACCCAGCGAAACTTTTCACGGAAGTTTATAGG